CATGTATACATATGTAATATATGTAAAATATATTAAAATTTTCAACCCTAAGCGATTAATAATCTTCTATTTACTAATGACCGATACGTTACTAAAGCTACATTGGACGTGCATGCGTTTGAAACCTGGCCCGTCTAACAACACTGGGAGCATAAACTTTTGCATAACGCATAACACGTAATGTATAAGAAAATATACTAATTAAAATCCTCCGTTTCTTTCCTTTCCAAATAAAAAACTCTGATTGATTGAATTTCATATGCCTTATGTGTTATGCAAGAGTCTGTGCTTCCCGCTTAAGTCATAAACCATAAAAAACTGACCAATTATGGTTCCTGCTTGCCGCGCGGCGAAAATTGTTGCACTAGCTTATAATTCTATGTTTTCAAGTCGATCCCACTTTGCAAAACTTCTAGAAATGATGTAATATTATTTCCGCCACGCGGTAAAAGTTGGATTGAGTTCAACTTTTGTCGCACGATAGAAATTATATATTTATTACTTCCGAGTAAGCAAGATATTGATTGGCTGTTGCACCAATTTCCGCCGCGCGACAAGCGTTGCTGCGTTTTGTGCGCAGGAGCCATTAGTCCGGATCTACAATCAATGTTCTAAGTCTTAAGGGGAACACCACTGTGACGGCCAAAAAAAAGGCTATCTTTGTAAATTTTTTTATAAAAACTAATAGCTTGTATAAATTATCATCTTTATATATTCAAAGTATATACATTTACAAAGTTATTACAAAAAATTCATTAAATAATGTTAATATTTCTAGCCTCAGTGATGTGCACCTCGTCTGGAAAAATATGAATGCACGAGCGCTCGTGCAGCGTTTGAAGGGGAGCTTTAAAATAAAATTTTTTTTATTTTAAAGTATATGAGTGTAGTTTAAGCGTACTGATTTTTTAATAAAATAATTTTAGACAAAATAAAAAAAGTTTTAAAAAAAAAGATTGCGATTTTGCGAAAAAAATTGTTTTTTTTTATTGTTTTTCAAAAACTAATAATTCGATTGAAAAATTCGTGTGCTTAACTGAAGACAATTTTGTTGTAAATATTCTGTCCAAAATTCAAGTCATTCAGATAAAAATTAGCCAAGATAGAAGATGTGTTTTAACTGCGCCCAGTTACGAAAACGTGGTTTCGAAAAAAACATGTTTAAAGTTACAATCGATTAATTTGCATCTGACCACGTACATCAGATATTTATTATAGTTTTGTTACGAATTTCAATATAATATTTTAGAGACATATTTTTAAGAAATATTACAAAAATGCAAAAAAAAAATCGATTTTTGAACCCATCACAGTGGTGTTCCCCCTTAAGCTGTAAGTATTGACCAATTACAGTTGAATATGAGGAGAATAACGTCACGCAACAACTTCATTTTTCTTGTCTATAATTATTTTTGAACAGACTTTCTAACAGATCCAAGTGGTACACGCGGAAATTTCTTGGAACGTACCTGACGCTTCTCACACCTTCCACGGCGGCATAATCAATGGAAGGACGCCAACGGAAACAACTTAAGGGCCGTCTACATAAGTTGCAAATGCAGAACGCAGTTCGCAGACGCCAATGAAAAGCTGTTATTAGTACTATTGACTTCTGATTGGCTGTCGCAAATGCGTCTGCGAACTGCGTTCTGCAAAACGTGTTTTGTGTTTGCGACTTATGTAGATGGCCCTTTATGGCTTTTGCACATTGGACGCCGAAACGTTTGCCGCACGGTAAAATGAGACGCGGTAACCAAACCGAACACATTAGGAGCTGAAGGCTTATTGGCTACTGCATCACAATTTGCCATACAGCAAGCGTTTTCACGTCCAGTGTGCAGAAGCCATTAGAGAGATCGCAGAGTAGTAGTGCGCGCCGTACAGAGGAGCCACATGAGAATTTTAGTCTCCTTTTACTATCCGGTAAAATCACCACTTTAGTTTTTTTAAAAAACGCCGCGTGCGAACGTAATACTACACCCGTATTCACAGTCCTTCCTTATTTTAAGAGTGGAGGAAACCTTCATGAAGAATTCCTCGATTTTTTAAGGTCTTTTCGTTTCATAAACTGATCTCTCTTCCCGAAAGAAAAAAATATTTTCTTTTAGTAACTTATTGAAGGCAGCATGTCATAATATACAATCATAATATATACTAACCTAATATCGTGAATTACGAATAATAAAGATTATAAAGGTATTATTGATTAAATAAAATCATGATTAAGCATTTTGCAAAAATAATGGACAAAAATAAAACTAATAGTGAATTTAATTGGACGCACTCATTGCGCACTAATACACATTAAAACCGCCGTATATACACAAAATAACGTAAATATATGTTTATAAATAACATAGAAATTGGTAAAATTGTGAAATACTCAACACTTCTTATTGTACTGTTAAATAAAATACATGTATGTATTTTATAATTCAAAATATTTGCATTTTATTTTTATATTCAAATTAAATTAGTGTACAACGACTTTAATATGCATCAGTGCTTCCAATCGAATTCGCCATAATGCTTATTATACGAAGAATGAAAAAATGCTTTTAGAGGAGTTTATTTCCGAAAAAAAGCTATCGAAAATAATTATTGATGTATCAGATTTAAATTAAAAGCTATCGAAAATAAAAAGACCAGTATGACGAACTAAATGTGGTGGTTTGATTGGTTATGAAAGCTGCACTTCCTCCTCAAGGAAACTCGTAACCTCTCTTGAGGAAAAGAAGCTAATAAGGTTCCTTGCTTGGTCAAGGAAGATTTATGAAACATGAAATGAGGAACAAGGAATCCTCATTCCTCAAGGAAGGATACTATGAACGGGTATAAGTCTGAACGCGACTCATTTCAATTTCTAAATTAAAGAAATCCAATCCTAATTTTAAATCTAAATCAGGGACTCGGACCGAATCGAAACCGAAACCGACAACCGTATGTTGTGTAGACTAATAGACCGAAACCGTAATCGGACCGAAAATGTTTTTTAGTTAGGTTTCAATCTAGTTTTCGGTTCGGATTTTTTAACCTCTTCGATATATACGATCGTCGACTACAGTTTACAGCCAAACATACATATTCTCATGATGTAATCATACATATTGCTACGGTCGAGCGTCGGCTGAATAACAAAAGAACAATGCGTTCTCCTTTTACAGTCGAAAGAGAGAGGAATGCTCGCTTGTGGTTGGTCGGTTCTTGCAACACTTGTAAAAATGGATAAAGACTGTCCTTCCATGAGTCAGTAAATAATTGTAAAAGGCACGAGAAGATCAAGAAGTTTATCAAAATTTATTCAATGCGCATGCGTAATCTATTTTCATTTCACGTTTCTTTTGTCACTATTTACTGACTCAGAAGAGATCAAGAGAGAAGTAAGGATAGTCTTCGCTCATTTCTACAAAGTGTTTTAAAGCAATTTTATTATTTGGTTACCTAAATTCTCTTTATTTACAAATGTTATGCAAGAAACTTTAACGTGTCATTTCTCACTTATGACGTCATGATTCAATGTTGCCACTGCCACAGCAAGTACTCAGGAGAGTTTTAGATTTTAAGTAGCAATATTACAGGATGTTCATGAATGTTACTTTCTTATTTAATTGCTTGATTATGATAATTTATGTAAGAATAATATGTTATTTTATAAAAAATTATCAAAAAGCTGTAAATGACCATTGGCGACACTGACGAGTCGACGTAGAAGATAATAAAAGTGAAACAGCAGCAAAGAAAGAAAAAAAAATGATCTATTAACTTTACACTAGTTTAGAGTTAAAGGTGTTAACTTATGCCCATTTCTACCAATGCAGTTTAACTTTAATTTCGGTTCAACTAACTCTTCATCTTTTTCTAGTTTTAAGAATTAGAAAAAAGATGAAGAATAAAGGATCTTAGCAGAAAGGCTGACTTATAATCTAAGACAGTATTTTATGATTAAGACTTAGTTCCACAATTCACGGTTAACTCTTAACCGTGATTCAACTTATTCCTCATTTCTCTTCAATTCTAGAATTGAAAAGAAATAAAGAATAAGTTGAACCTCGGTTAAGAGTTAACCGTGAGTTGTAGAACTGGGCCTAAATCTCATGTCTTTAATAACAAGAACTGTCTTAAGATCATAAG